TACGCACTATATCGGATTTGGATCGGTCTCGTCTGACCGATACCCCGATCAAACAGAAAATGCCAGTATCGGAGCGATACCGATACTGAATATCGGATCGGCGCACCCCTATTATAGACTAATATATATATATATATATATATATATATATATCTTATCTTATATCTATATATCTTGCATAGTCCCTCCTGAAAAAAAAATTTGAAATTCAAAGCTAGTTTGTCAATTTGTTCAGCAGTCAAAGCTAATTAAATTTTTGTTCATGGCCCATACTTGCTTGGTCTACATACCTCCTGAACACAAAGTCATGCCTGCATGAAATTTGGTAGCCATCATTTTGAGGGCACTCTAATTTTTGTCAAATTCCACCAATAGGGAGCAGTATAACTAAAATAACATTCTATTAAAATTCACAATTTTAGATGTATATTCTCTGCCAAATTTGGAGTTTGTGGTCATTTTCTCCCCTTTTCTCAAAGTGCTTGGGCTCTGATAACTGCTGCTTGTGGCGATATCTAATAATGAACATTTATTCATTTGGCAGACATTTTTAGCCAAAGCCACTTATAGAGTGCTCAGGGTTTATTGTATCAGCATGTGTATTTTCTGTAAATCTAAAACACCATTTTTAGTGGCATACTTTACCAGTTGACAAAAATAAATAAATAAAGATCTGTGTATAAGGGAATGTCTCACCATAATCTGAATTTCCCTCTTGCATACTTGAAGGTCATGTTCATTGTTGACATACATTCTCTTCAGCGCACAACGGACGCCCTGATGAGCCCTCACCAGAAATACGATAGCAAAACCACCTGTGGATAGAAAACCAACAGCCTGAAAATCTTTAAACACAGGACAGTTGAGCTACTGAGAGCTCACATGCAGAGAAAGGCAAATCCATCTCATTTGTGATTCAACAAATGTAACACAGTATCACAAGGAACACAGACAACCTTTGTCCAGGGAAATAAGGAGGTATTGGACACTGGTTTCCTTGTGCTATCAGACCAACCAGCAGTGGACACACAGTATATAATCATATTATTGATAGGTTAACCTCATTTTAATATTGTTACGTCTAACAGTAAGAGTGAGCACAAAAACCCTTTGACTGTGGAAATGCAACTGTCTGTCCAAATGAAAATTAATTGGTGCCTGATGATACATTACAATAACTAATGCTCACTTGGGGTTAGTAGTTTAAACAAATCTTTAAACAACTAAAACCTGAGATCTTGTTTTAACCCGTTTTCCCAAATACATTTTGCATGTATTTTTAGCTGTGCATGCATGGAGTCGTGCAGACACTGAATTTGAATATTATGAATATTTTGGAAACAATGACTGACTTTGTGAGGTTTCTCATACAAAAAAACAGCAGATTAGATCAATGCTGCTGTCAAAAACCAAGTTTCACCTCTGTACATTATTGTAGGATCTCTATGCCCCGCCTCTCTCAAAATAAGCTGATTGGGTGGAATCATGTGTGTGTGTGTGTGTGTGTGTACCTACTTAACCATATTTTGTGGACAAATTTGTACCCAAAAGTGAGCAAAGCCTGACAAAATCGGCCAACACCTCAATTTGTGGATGTCCACATTTGTAAAACTGTTATAAAAATAAAGTAAACAAAGTTTTTTTTTACTTTTGAAATTGTAAAAATGCAGAAAGTTTTCTGTGAGGGGTAGGGCTGGGTTTAGGTTAAAAAGTGTATAACTATCT